CTGTTTGTCATATGTGACTACTTCCACGTTACTCGCCTCACCTTTTTGCTACCTTTATGTCTGTCTCTTTAACATCTTTGAAACTCTTCTGTTTCCTCCCCCTCTCGACTTTTTTTCCCCTTTGATGTTCCTCTCCCTCTGTGGAGCCTGAAGTCCACTAAAGGGCTAATGATAACTACCAAAACGCCTGCCATGTGATATAAATAAATAAATCTTGATAGATTTATTCTCACTGATAGCCGAGTGAAACTAGACCATAATATCTAAATTGATTTTACCATATTTCCGGGGTTTTCCGAAAGTTCGCCCACCCCAATAAGCTTTTCCCTATTTGGGGCTGAAGCTTGACTCCCCCTTTCGGGATGAGTCATATATATATGAGTATAAATATATATTTATTATATATATTCCCTTTAACCGCTCTGGGCGGATTTTCGGAAACCCCCGTACTATATGCAAGATGGTTGTGATATTTGCGTGCTATGAAATATTCCTATCTTGACTTTGAAAATTGGGGCCTTACGTACAAGCTTTACCTCTTAGCAACAATCATTGTTGCCCTAGAGATAGCTGAACCTATGAGAGATTCCTTTTAATGTACAATTACTTATTTCAGAGACCTGATTTGAAAATCTACTATCTCCACCACGCATTTAATGACCTGCCGATAAGCATAACGCCAAATTGAAACTCCAACCTATTTTAGAGCACTAAACGGTGGGAAAGCGCAAAGTTATCATATTCGAGTTCAACATTCTGAGTGCAGTTGGAGTTCTAAAGTGCTGCAATTTATTAGTGCAGTTCAAAGATCAAATCTAGTAATGTTCTTTCTAAGTTCACAAAGTTCCCTAGTGTATTTGCACCCAAATTCTTTGGCTCGCTCTATTGATTATTTAATTACCTTAGTCATCGTGGTTATTTTTACTCACGTCATAATATAAGATTGATACGGTAAACATAGTAAAGGCAAATCCATATTGGGGTAAAGGATGGAAGGTCATTTAGAAGCTGTGAAGCAGCACTGAAAATGCAAAGTAGAATTTTAGAGTAGCACAGGGTATACGATTCATGCCGAATAAGAGGTTGAATAAAAGTCACTAGACATGTCATAAGGTTCAGCTTCCAGTTTGCTAGCTTCCTTGGCTCCTGGAAGTGTTAATCGCCGCGACCTACACAGCATAATATTTATATCAAATGGCAGCCGTTTTGATATTTATCAATAGCCCTTTAGTTGACTTCGGGCTTCACAAAGGAGGAGGGAGGAATATCAAAGTGAAAAAAAAGTCGTGAGGGGGTGGAGAACAGAAGGATGCTTCAAAGTTATAAAAGAGACAGACACAAAGGTCGAGAGTTGGGTAGGACAAGTACTGTGAAAGTGGCGGAATATAGCATACAATGGGGTCATGGTAGCTTGAAGTGAGAAGTCAATTGTCGGTTAACAGACTTTTTGTCGTATGAGTATACGTTGCCCAGGATGCACCACGTGGAGGTAAGTCTATCGTACACCCTACTCAGCATAATATACAGTTAGCATACTTTGTGTGGTCATTGAAACAATATATGTGGAAACAAATAGGGTGGGATGCGGACGATAATATTTCATGAATGTACATTCATATAACTTGAAGCAAACAAATTGATATTTCATTTTCTTCACCTCGATAATGTTCCACCGAAGATACTAATGTGAATTCAACTTAGTTTAACTTTTCCCAGATTTATGTGTTAATTTGGAAAGCTTAGCTTTCAAATATGTTGACTCCTATCACACCAAGGGGAGTTGGAAGATAAGGCCAAGACTGAAACCAAAGCTTGCAACTCCATTTACACAGGTGTCCTAGCGAGAACTTCCTGATTCGTTAAAGTCATATAAATTTGAAGGGAATAGATTGAGAGGCACCCATTACATGGATATAAGATTAAATAGCACATATAAAGTCTTATTAAATGGAGTCGCATTTAAATTTGACTAAGTTCAAACGAATGGATTAAAATGGGGGTGTGAAATGATAGGGAAGAATGAATTGAATTTAAGAATACGTTACGAGATTGTTCTGTAGGTAAGGAAGTGGAATAACGTCAATTTATCAATTGAGTAGGTTGGGATGCGCTTATTGCTCAGATCCAGGTGAAGAATGATATCAAAATCCTGCTAGATATAACAACTCGATTATTGAACAAAATTTATCTCAGGTGGAGTAAGCAAACAAGAGAATCACAACCATTCTCAATAAGGTACCTCAAGCGGTTTGTCCAAATGCAAGCAAACAAGTATTCAGAGTTCAGGCCATAATAGGTCACTTAAAAATAAAGAGTTTACTAAAAGCACTTAAACTTCACCATGATTACCTACTTTAATTATTGCACAAAACTATTTTTCGGTCAAATCGATCACTGGCCGCTTTAATGAGAAACTCACATTCTTAGAGACCTCTTATTGATCTGCTAACTTAATAAGAAAGTGAACATTTAAATTGTGAACAGATCATTAAAGCATCTTAAATAGTGGTAATGTGTTTGTCATTTAATTGATGGACCACGTTCAAGGTTAAGGTTATATACTGTTTACTGATCAACTGCCTTAAATTTTGGAAAGTTTGGCGCAGTTTGACAGTCTGGAATGTAAGATGAGAAGCGTTTTCTCTTTAATAAGACAGTTGTCTACACCTTTGTACGCAGTCCGCCAAATATGTGGTACTTATTAGCTGTAAGTAGAAGAATAGTCGACAACAACATTACTGTTAAACTAAGTAACTGATTCGCATAGAGCGAAAATGTAAAAGGACGGAAAAAAACGGTAAACGACACATTAGGGCCAAGCGGAATAAAGCGAGGTAAATATTCAAATTCAGAATTCGGACAGAATTCGATTATCCACTCTACTGAATGGCTGGAGTTTACTTCATAGTCTTTAACTATTCTTTTGTCAGAAATAGCTCATTACTTATTTACTTGATTTAATTGAGCTAACGAACATGCCATCCAATCGAAGTCTAATATATTTTCTGTTTCATCTTATAGTTTTATAGCAAAAGTAGCAACGCTTTTATTTCTGTTTAATCTATTTTGGTGGGAGTATTTTTCACTTTCTTATTCAATGTTTTGGGAATGCTATTAATGCGTTTCCACTGTGCCAAAACAGACTTATCCTAAACTGACCTCCTGGCCTTAGCGTAAACACAAATTACGAGTATTTGCGAGGCATATCAAGTTATGTATCCTCACTCATTTGGGAGATAATGCAAAGTTGTGTGTCTAGAAAATGATTTACGAAGATGTTAAATTACTTTATATATTATTACTACAGATATACTTAATTTTTTCAACAAGATAAGAACTTTTATGGAATAAGTTATTAGATATTTTTTTCACCCATTAATAAATTCCTTCGATCACCGTTAATCCACCCGTTAGATGCTTATAAAACACTAATGCTTCATATTTGTGGGCTAAATCCACATTGGCTAGGAAAATACCGAATAACCTCTTTGTTTAAAGTTTTGACAAGAGTCAAATCCCTAATAGGTTATTACTACGGATATCAATTGCCAAAAACAGCCGGGGTCAAGAAAGATGTCATGAGAAACATTCCATCAAGGCTGTCAAGTTGCACAGGCGAATATTTAACACTGCTGTTGTCACCACGGGAAGGCACAAGGCAAGTAAGACTGATTTTATTCATAAAATAAGAGTTTGCATATAAATCCTAACTAATTCATTTATAAATTAAATTGACTTATCAGTCACCTACTCACTTACCTAGCAAAGCAATTACCTTAAATTTCATTATTCATCGATTCCCCGTATGATCTAGGCACACAATAATTATTGCATTCGTCTAAACAATTTAACTGTTTTGCTGAAAAAACAATATATTGAAAAGAATTGTGAGTATTTAATAGAAGTATAGGATTGGTATAGAAAACCTTAGTTAGAAGTAAAAGTGAAAATAAAATAATTTTTATAGTGTATAATTGATTATAAAACTTAAATCACGAATTTTAATTAAATTATATGGTGAAATCTGGGATTAAAGGAAAGTTTGATTGGTGTTTTGAATGGTTCGCTTGTTTGCACATAGCAATTGATTACAACTGATTTTAAATATAAAAATAAGAACATGAACAATGACAGAGATGAATAAATAAAATCTATTAATTTCACGATGCTTCAAATGGGGGAAGAACGCTCCTTTTACTAAAATAGCTTCTTTCTTGCATAGCACTTAAAATACTAAAGCAAGCACGTCTACAAGACATCGAATCAACTAATTCCGGAGGAAACAATATTATAGTGATTGAACTCAACATAATCATTGCAATAGATGTAAAAACGAGAGTTACATTTTTAATATCTTATAACCACATAAGTTAGTCATGATGATCCAAAACCATATATGCAGTAGAGTACAATTTTGGTAATTTATTGCTAATATATGTTGCAAATATTGATGTTTCCTCTATCTCCTCGCTTTATGAACTTCGTACAATATGTCTCGTTTCCAGAACTATAAGCTAGAATAAAATTACATTTAACTATTGTTCTCAAAATTGAACCTTAATACACTTATCATCATATTGATTGGATGAAAACGTAAAATAAAACACATAAAAGTAAATATTATAAAAAATTAAAGATTTTTCCACATAAATAAAAAAATGAAAGAAATTTCAATTTGCACATGATTGCCAGTTAAGTTGCACAACTTCATGCATATTCCAAGGACAAATCATGTGCGAATAGTTTTTGACGTATTGTCAAACAGGGTAGAGAACATTTTTAGGTGTGGTGTAATTTTACCTACTTATTTTGCATAAATGGTACAGATAAATAGATGATCTGTTGGAAGTGTTTTGAAACTTGTGCTGTTTTAGCAGATGCAATCATTTTTAAATGACGTTTTATTTTCATGGTTGATAAAATTTTTTAATCTTGGCAAATAATGATGATTTTATTCCAGTTTTTCTCATGTTTCGAATGTGCATTTTAGTTGCATTATTATGGACAGTGATTTAGAACTCCAAAGGTCACGTAGTGAACCGAACGGGCTTTCTATTTTCTCCCCTGATACACTGAAAGGTGAGTTGTTGTAAATTTCGCTTTCTGACTTTTGAAAGATCCCTTCTCAACTGCCTCCTCAGCGGCTTCCCTTATTCATGTTCCATCTCGTCTACCTTTCCCGAACGGAAAATTAAATCATTGTAGTCTCTCTGTCGATCACTTTGGTACCAAATGGCAATGTCTGAAATCGATGAATGTACTTCGTCGCTCTCAGCTTTCACTATCCTTAAATAAATCATCTTCATCATCGTCTTCCTCTTCCATTGATGATAATGGTTGCCTCCAGGACTCTGACAATCTTCAATACTCACGATTTGATGACAGTCCTTCAAGAATAGGTAACTACTTTGTGACTAAATCAATGTCTCCCTTATTTTGTGGTGCAATGCTCATTGTACTGTGAGATGTAATGAGATATCTCAGATGTTAAATTAATATGTTGTTGTTACGGCTACCACTTTTATCAAATTTGCTTTTTGTTGAGATTTAATCAGAACAGACTTACATCATTTGTTTATTAATGACATTTATTTTCCCCTTTAAAGTCGTCTTGCATTATTTGATGTTTTATAGGTGATATGGTCATTTGCTTAGTCCATTGTGGTTTATAGTGATCCCCAGTCGGCGTCTCTTACCTCATAATCTACACAACTTTCCTGTGGGGCTGCTGTTAAATAGTTTTTTGCTCAGTATTAGTCTTTATTTGTCTGACTTGCTTCAATTTGCAATTTTTTGAGCCAAATTTATATGTTTTGGTTCATGCGCATTTTGGACCCAGAGCAGTTGTACATGCACTTAAAATACTAGTTAAAAGTAGTTTAAATCTTTCAGAATCTTCTCCAAGTCACCTCTATCTCGAGCGAATGATGCTCACGTCAATCCCAAGGAGAAAGGAGTTCTCCGAACAGTTTCGAGACCTCGCTCAACTCCACGAAAACTCTGAGATCCCGCGAGCCAAGTGGGATGATGCTTCTCGGCTATTTCCCAAACAGTTCGGTCTTCCGCCTTCAATTGCCATCAGCATTTGGTAAGGAAAGCATTTTGAAGTCCTGCATTAAATGCTAGTCCTGAGTTAAAATTTATATATAGATGGTTTCATTTTCAAGTTCCCATTATGACAACTCTGATTTACTCCTCATGATCCATCGAATGCAAATTAGTTTTGTGTGATAAGGATAGCCTTCTGTGATATCTATGGAATGATCTGTCATTGCCTAATTCCCAAACCCTCTTAATTCGATTGATTTAAAGTTATGAAAGGGGAGATTATTTTGATTCTCAGGAATGGGTAATCTATCTGATTCTCTTTCCCATACATTGTTCGTGTCTTTTATACCGATCGAAATTTCTTGAAATTAATGATTTAAATCATTGAAATTTGTCCATAAAGTAGATGCATTATTTGCCCTATCCATATTCGGGTCACAGCATTGCTTTTCAATGTTCTAGTATGTATTTCTCTAGTGTTGGCTTCATACTTCGAAAAAGTGGAATTTACCTGATTGGGATTTTTATTCATGGCAGATGGTTCTCAATAAGGACTATCCCCTCGTCTTAACTTTTCTTTTTTAAAATATTCAACTTTGACAAGCATGTCCTATTAAACTGATTGAATTGTCGTTTGGTGGTGAATTGCCCAATTTACCCATTCCTGCTGCGTTGTCCTGCAGTTATCTTGTCTTACTTCCTTTCACTTTTTTCAATACGAAAAAGCGTTAAATTTGAAGGATTAAGTAGCATTTACTTAATCCCTGTCTATTAATCGGGATTGCTATTTTTAACACGTTCATAGGAGTTGGGTTTCTTCTATAAATTATGAAGTATTTGTTAATTTGATAGCAATCTTGTTTGGGAAGAAAAGAGGATGGGGGGGGGGAGTGGAGAGAGGTTGGGAAATGTTAAGCCCAAGTAATGCTCTATAGGGAAAAGGGCATTGATTGTGTATAGGTTTGTAACTATTTGGGACCTACAAATAGGGAAATAATCATAACTATGTTGTACTACATTCTCTACATTGTTTAGATTCCAAATTACTGCCAGGCGGTGAACTTTCAATAAAAAAGGCTGGAAAACTAAGCTTCTTATGTCTGCCCTTGAAGCGATGTTCCATCGATGAAAATTTTTCACGGGCACTTGTATTATGGTGTATGAGGGAAGAGGCCTCCCATTTGGTTAATCTCCACTACCTGATTGTATCAACAGTGGTCAGTCGTACCTACCAATACGTGTTTGTTGTATGCGAAACTTTGTCTGATCAGGAGTTTTCTACTCTCCGATGCATCCACGCGGGGACTAAGATAATAATGAATAGTTTTTTGACTATGATAGGCATTGGAGAAAGTTTAGAATCAGAATTAAATTGGAATGCTTCTAAAGGTATCTTTTGTGTGTTATTTCGCATGCACTCCCAGCAAATCGCACTTTGTAATAAATTTCGTTGGATCATAATAGTTAGCGTGCACGCGAACACACGTCTCTGGCTTTAGACAGTGAAATTCATTCCTTTGTTTGTTATTAAAGTATTTTCGACTTGGCACTGTTTATTTTAACTATTTAAAATATTATTATTATTATTATTATTATTTCAAATGGCAGGCTTTATGATATTTATCACTAGCCCTTAAACTTGGACTTCAGCTTCCCCCAAGGGTGGGAGGTACATATATAGCAGTTAAATAATAGCAATTCATTAGCTGTCTCCTTGCTTCCCAGTATCTCTGGATTTCCGTCGTTGTCTTTAGGGCTTAGTGCTATCCTAATGGCCTCTATTTCTCCTTCGAAAGCGGATCTATTGTGTCCCACTGCTGCGTAGAAAGAGAAGAGTTCAGAATAGATACCTGCACCAACGTTTGCTTGGTATTCTATGTATGACCCATCAGTGAAGACTTGGAGCCATTGATCGGCAGGATAGTTGACATTGATTGTCTCAGGGCCAGTGAGCACATTTGCTCTGGAGGGGTGTTTGATTTCCTGAAGAAGTCAAGCAGTTGGATGCAACACACTACATCAGTGTCTGCTAATGGGTTCATGGGGAGAGAGAGGCTTTTTGGTTTGTAATTTTTGGTTTGATTTGTAATTCTTTCTTCAGTTTTATGGCTTTCTGTATTAGACCAGATTGTGTTTTCAGATGTCTTGGTCTATTCTCATAGGTGCTGAAGGACTTATCCAAGGGAATGCGCAGTAGCTTCTCATACAGGATCAAGGCCTTTTCTTTGATATGGGAACATATTGTAGTGCTTCCTGTAACTAGGAGCATTGCATCAATGGGTGTTGATTTTACCCCTCCAGTAATTAGTCGTAATGCTTGGTTATGTGCCTTCTCGAGGGGTTTGAGAGTCACCTCTGTGGCTGTAATGAGTGGCTCACAGCAATACAACATTATTGGCTGAATAAACCTCTTGTAAGTGGTATTGAGAGTTGAGCGCGCACAGCCCCATACGCTACCAGCAAGACGCTTCAGGACATTGAGTCTATTGGTGGCTCGTTCTGCTATTTTTGCAATGTGACTTATCCATGTTAGCTTTGTGTCAAACGTCATTCCGATTTTCTCTATGGTAGTATCCTTGTACCTTAAATGCGGGTTTTTGCTGTGACGGGCCAAAGAAAATGTTTGGAATGCAGTTTT